GAGAGGGTTCGTACGGATTTTTCCTGGTGGCAAAATTAGAAATAATGGAAGTGGCAACTGACCTGACTGTCACTATCTACCGATTTCGTGTTTTTTTTGACAACGCTGTTTGCATGCATCATTTGAGATAACAGTCAAAATTTTCGATTTCTAACGTGATTAATTGCATTAAAATGAAAAATGGGCTGATCGGTTGTACTAATAAATATCATTGAAGGTCTTTAGTACAGGGTCCGTCAGAAAGAACGCATGTTTTTCGAATGGGTACTACATCGAGTGGACTGGTCCCGTGTCGGTGGGGAAGGGCGTGTTGGATAGTGGGAGAAGTGCCGTTTCAGTTTGCAAGATGGTTTGGAACGTTGAGCAGAGTTTGTCAACAACTGTTGCCAGGGGATTATGCACAACGGGTTAATTTTGCACAGCTCATGATTGAACAGTTGGATAACAATGACATGGCGTTGTTTATGAGTGATGAAGCATATTTTCATTTACATGGATACTTCAATAAACAAAATTTTCGATATTGGACTCCAGTGAACTCTCAACAGTTGCATGAGCATCCCCTGCATACCCCAAAAGTTACAGTTTGGTGTGCAGTAGGCCCAACGATAAATATTGGCTTTTTTTTTTGAGGATGATGGAGAAACAACTACTGTGAATTCTTCGACGCCGACGTGCCTGTCTCAGAACAGTGTGGTTCCAACAAAACGGGGCAACATCTCACACAGCTCGCAGTTCGATGAAACGTCTTCGGCAAAAATTCCCAGGACGTCTCACTTCACGTCAAGGCGATATTCCATGGACCCCTCGCTCCCCGGACCTGTCAACGTGTGACTTTTTATGGGGTTACCTGAAATCAGTAGTTCATCAAAGCAAACCTTGGACCCTCGCCGATTTGAAGGAGGAAATAAGAGTAAGTAAGTAAGTAACCCAAGTTTCTGCACGGATTCCATGAAGGATCAAGTAGTTAGAAAATGCTTGACCTCATGTCAAGCTTTAATGTTACAAGTAATTTTACTATCATGGCAAGTAGATTTTGACTTTATAAATCCCTACATATTAGCAAAGATATAATCTGCAGTTTCTTCAGTTAGATGTCCCGTAATGCCCCAATACATTGTTGAGTGTCGCATAATTCAACTTGTCTAATGTTAAACTTACCCAGTTTAAACTCAGATATAAGCGTAGTGATAGACGCTACTTATCTACTAATCAGTTACCGCGAGTTGCGCGGGTTCGAGTCCCTTTCCAACAGAATATTTCTCTTGGCTATGGATATTGTGCGATTGCCCGTAGGTAGTAGAGGGTCTTGGACTGTTGAACGTGAAGGTACCACCCAACGGATCTCTAAAGCGGGACCAGAATGTGTGCATGTCACAGTCCGTGTGACGTCCCCCCTTTTTCCTGTATCCCCATATAGCCTCCACGGTACCCATGGGTGTTTATGCCTCAGGTCTTCGTGGTGATTAGAGTATAAAAAAGAGAACTTGCTCAGGAAAAATGTTCTACAAATCAAATTCTGCAATGCCTAGTATATGGATTCAAAGCACTGCATTAACGTTTGATATGAATATCTTACCCATGTTTCGTATGGATAAGCTCTAAGTAAACTTCAGAGAACTCTTTTGTCGAACGAGAAAGGTAGGAATAAGCAGGATGATTGAGCGAACTAATGATACATCATGAAACACATATAAACAATAACTATAGGAAAAGTGTCATCAAACTACACCTATAAAGATAGTCTAAATAAGACATAACTATGTGCCATTTATTAGCAGGATCGACCATGCAAATGTAAAAACAGCAAGCTAACTAGTGAAATGTATGCGAACTGGCATACAGCTGAGATGGCACCTCGATTTCGATAAAATTTGTAATCTGTATAGTTGCTCAGCTTTTGTTCGTTGTCCACCAAGACCAAGCCTTCGCCATGCTGAAGAGTTACCAAATCCAAATAGCATGACACGGCTGTCAATGGTTGGTCCTCTGTATTCGGCCGAACTAAAGCCGAACTACCAGATCATAAAGATAATGATGACGCAAAGCAGTTCAGTGATTTGTCGAGGACACAGTATTAACAATCATCATGTTTACCTAGCAGAAAATCCGTAATTTCTCGTAGGTGGGCCATCACAGCCTGGTGGGTGGTCAGTCGGACTGACAAAATTTACTATTGAAAATCTATTTTTTTTTTCGCACGATAGCTGCTGTAGTAATATTTATTTGTTTATCGGCCGCGAGTTGCTATAATGTTATAGAAAATCTGAAATACCTGAGATTCTGTTCGTAAAATGACAAGTTGTTTTTGCAATCAGAAAAGTATCTATGAAAGTTATGATCGTTGAGGCCATGCATTGACTCCTACAAAGCCTCTAAGATACAAAACGTTAATTTTAGAGCAATATATCTATAGAAAACATTATTATCAACTCCTAATTTTACTATACCCACACGAGCCCATATTTGCGATAATCTTACCACCTGTCTTACGAGTAGGCTTACAGGGTATCCCAGCATAAGATCCAAATCTCTCGGATACGTAAAAACTCAAAATTATTCCACCAAGTTCCTATGAAAATGTCCCACTGTGCTTCGCTACGGAGATACAGATACGTATTTTTGATGAGTAACTTATGAAAAATACAGCGAAATTCAACGAAGTTTTGATAACATAGTAACCATTTCTCACCAACAATAACTGATGCATTTATTTTGCATCGCTCTCTTTTACACCCCATGTAATAATGACCCAATAGCCCCTTTGGGAATCCTAAAAATTTTGCTGAAAAATCATCTTGTTCAATTTTGATGAAATAAGCCGTTTCTGATAAAAACAGCTTTGTTTTAATATCGTTCCTATAGACTTACACTATAGCATCAGTCACCAAAAAGTTCGATAAAACATCAAAACTCGATTAAGCGACATGAGATCTATTCATATCCTCGAGTATTACGGGTCGCTGATTATATATCGGAAGTACTATATTTTCAAAATTATGGTAACTGTTCCAGTACAAAAGTTGATAGAACTATACTAACACATGGAAGCCAGAAAAGACAATTTTTATAGAAACTTGTGGAATTTTGTATGTGATCTATAGAGTCCAGAAGATCGTATTCTCATTCCGGGACACCACTTATGAAAATCTTGAAGCACCTTATTAACACTTCGTCAATGCATGTCAAGCACAAAAGATCTCTTGCCTCGGCTATGAAACGCCTTCTCCACTAGAATAAAACCTCCTATCCTTTATGTTGTAAAAAAAAAACACGAAAAAATAAAAAGATTGACGCTCTGTATCGTACAGCTCTACACCGTGCAACTGCAGTAGAAATGCAAATCGATATAAAACGCATTCATATATGCCACCTGTTGATATTTTAAATATAAACTCTCGTTGCTGACTGGTCGTATCTGTTTTTCCTGGTGGAATGGGATCCGAAGCTCAATGATGCCATTGTTTGATTTAAAGCTAATGAAAAACGGTAAAAAAACATTCTGCTTTGTTGATCTTTCGCATTGTAACTGGTTCAATCCGCTAGATTCGCAAATTCTCCATGGAATATGTTTACGGTAGTATGATGTGCGGAAACCGTATAGGCAGCTTTTGACGGTATATGGATACAACTTAGTAAAGTGTTATAAGAATGCTAACAAAAGGTGTATTCCAACAAGCAGTTCCGAACTAATTCCGAATTATTTTTCTGTGCAAGCGAGGTAAGTACAGTTCAGACCTTGTTTCGAACTATTCTGTTGGAACAAATTACACGACTTGATGTAAACTTAACCTTAATTGAAGAAAAATTTAGAATTCTCCATAATTCCATAGGTATGTCTACATATTTTTTTGGCTCATTGTTTAAAAGTATTGGGAAAATATTGCCATGAGTGATCACCCTGTAGTGCCTTACACGCACCACATATGCGTCATCTAGGTGGATAGGTACCCTAAACCGCATCCGCTGAGGAATATGCAAATCGAAATTTAAATAAATTAATTTTTTTTTAAATTAAAGTAATATGCCGGTTCAAAAGCCCACATACAATGATATTTATTTTCGAATTATGAAGGAATTTATAAAAAATGGCGACAGGGGACTGTTATCTCATCCAGAGAAACGTTTATATGGGAGAAAAAACATGTTTTAATTGAATGTAAGCAATCGAACGATTTGTTTTTATTAATCTTAACTATACTAAAATAAAATCTAGATATTTAGGAAAAAGCAATTTCTAAAATTAATTTTCTAATACTATACAGCTTCTGAGCTAACAAGCTTTATCTAACTTAACTAGTAACTCTTATACTGGTTCAGCTACTAAAACAATCTTTTCCCTTTTGGAGTTAGATCTGGGTTTGGTAACTTTCTCTCTTCGTGGAACTGGACCTTCCTGGTCCAAAAAGTAAGTACCTGTTTCATTGTATTGTACCTTTATTTGCGCAGCGTTTTAATACAATTTGATATATTTTTTGTGTTATCATTTGAGACTCCATACCAGCGAGTCTGCACAACCCAGAGCAAATTTGCCCCCACGTTACAGTCGTGGCAATATTTTAAATAAATAGGACGAGCTGTTATCCTTTTGAGAGCTGGAAGGATTCATCATTTTTCCTTTAGAGGAAGCATGCTTTGCAACAGCAGCAAATAATAATTTATCAAGCAGAATTTTGCACAGCAACAGTGCGACACTGTTATGAATAAAATGCAAATTTAATTGATGTGGCATCAGTCTAGATATTGTGACAGATTTGTATGCATGCTTCGACTATTGCGTAGATACTTATTTTTGATGGACGCAAATTTGAAAATAAGTTTTAGCTTTTTTGGCGTAGGGCAAACCCGTCCAAAGTGGATACCCCAGGCAAAGCGAATAGTTCTCACTGCAGCCAAATTATTTGTTGGCCGGCAGCCGCGCTGTCATATCACCGGTCACCTGTTGCCGCTAAATGCGCAAATACGTCTGCGCCAGTTTGCATCACGCTGCGCCATTTTTTGGAGAAAGTGTGTTTTTGTACGAAAAATATTAATTTACAGAGGTAAGTGTTTCGTTTGTATCTATTATGTTATTTTAGGCATGTTCTTGATTATGCAAAGGATTTAATGCATGATTATGTAGCTTCCAAGAATGTGTAGTTGATGAGTGTAGATGTAGTTTTTTTAATGACTTAACCTCAAAAATGTACCCCAAGGGTAAAACGGATCGGGCAAAGTGGATACTGTATCCGCTTTGCCCGGTCATCTCAAGTAATATAATTTTATAGAATTATGTGTTTTATCAAGTATTTATTATTCCAGATGGTGAATAAATATAACAAAAGACTACGCAAGATACTTGGAGTACAGATGTCATGCAGACTGCAACAAATAAGTGTAGAGCAGGAGAATCTATCAAAGGGACCGCAAAAAATACGGACTTGCATATGCGACCCTATACAGGCATTTCAAAAGTGGAATTGCTTCTCCACGGCCCGGTCGATTCCGTCCTATATTCACCAAAGATCAAGAAATCGAACTGGTGACTTACCTACAAGATATGGATGCAGTATTTTTCGGCCTTATTCGGGATGAATTTATGAGTCTAGCATTTGAGTATGCACACCGGAACAATTTGCAATACCCTGATAGCTGGAATAAAAATCGAGAAGAATGCCTGCAAAGATTTTATCACGTCGTACCAACTTGACACTAAGAACTCCAGAATCAATATCTGTGGCAAGAATGAAAGGATTTAATCGCCGCGAAGTGAACCATTTCTATGAAAACCTTGTAACTGTCATTGAGAAAAATAGCATCGAAGCCTCTAGACTATACAATATGGACGAAACCGGGATATCAACATCAAATAAGCCACCAAAGGTTATCTCCGTAAAGGGGAAAAACAAGTAGGCATGATTGCAAGTGCAGACCGTGGACAATTGACAACCATCATCAGATGTTGTAATGCAGCTGGTAGCTTCCACCTTTCCCAATTTTTGCAAGAAAGAAGATGCAAGCAAGACTTATTGATGGAAGCCCGTCAGGGACTCAAGCAACGTGTACACCTAATGGTTGGACATCAGGCGAAGTCTTCTTGAACTGGATGCATTTCTTCGTAGAGAAGTGAGGCCAACATCAGACAAAAAGGTCCTATTTCTATAAGACAACCATGAAAGCCACAAATACTACCCTGCACTTGAGTATGCCACAAAGAATAATGTGGTCATATTATCCTTAGCACTGCATACTACTCACAAAATGCAACCTATGGATGTTGCTGTGTACGACCCACTGAAAACTCATTTTGAAAGGGAAGTCAATATTTTTCAAAAATCTCACCTCGGTCGCATCACCAGTACGATGCAGCTAGGATTGCTAGCACCAGCTTTTCTCAAAACTGCTGTGGCCATCAATGCAGTGCATGGATTTGAACGACCTGGAATTTGGCCTATAAACAAGCACGCTTTTGGTAATCAGCATTTTGCACCAGCCGAGGTACTTGTAGGTACATCCACTTCGAGTAGTCAGACTGCAACTTTGTCCTCACTGGGAATAATTGCTTTGCCTGAGTCCGCGGTTCAAGCGTCACCTTCAATTGATTCTCACGATCAACCCACATTACCTTCATTGGCAAATGCCACTCAACAATCTGATTCCGTCCTCAGTCATATTCAAGAAGGAAATACACCGATTTTAGAATCGATTAATCCTTTGTTTCGTCGTCAGATGAATTTGAAGTTTTAGGTCGTTCTCAGTCTCAAGACGACGTTAATATGTATGCTGAAGACCGACCGTGCACTTCTATGGGATCTGACACTAAAAAAGAAACCCACGACAATTATGCTCCCACCGCTTCCCTGAACCTGGATGTTCTGAGACCTAGTATAGTCCTTCAGTTTTAAGACCTATTCCTCAGCTTGCTAGACCAACAACATCACGTAAACGGAAGATACAAAGATGTAATATACTGACAAGTACTCCAGTAAAGGAAGAGCAGAAACACAAATTTGAAAAAGGAAAAAAAGCCTGTTATGAAGTCACTAGATGATGTTTCGACTAAAGCTTCCCAGAAGACTGTTGACAAAAAGTCTGTTAAATCTAAAATATCTGCTGAAAAGCCTAAAACGACGACCAAAGAAAATAAAAAGCACAAGAAAATAATGAAATTTGTTGATGTCAGCTGCATTTTCTGTGGTAAAATGTACATTGAAGAAAATGATCAACCAACAGAAAACTGGATTCAATGTATAATTTGTATTTTGTGGTACCATGAAGACTGTTCAGCCTACGAAGGCGGTGATGATTTTGTTTGCGATAACCGCAACAGTTAGATTTGTAGCAGAAAAATGTTATTTTAAATATTATGCTCTTTTTATTTCGAACGTTTTATCTGTTTTTAAGTTTTATTTTATTCCAAATAATGTTGTTCTTTAGTTTGAGCTGGTGCCACATAAACATTTTATTATAAATAAAATATTAAATAAAGATGATGTTCTAGTTCTAGTTTTGTTTGTAAGTTTAATTTCATGCTAAATACTGTTGTTATTCCCTTTGCCCAGGTACCATATCCACTTTGCCTGGGATACCGGGCAAAGTGGATAGTAAGCAACTATTGTAAACTTAGCTTATTTATAACTTATAGCATAATTAGTATTAAGGGCAAATGCTATGAAATTTCGTAAGTTCCTGTAATGAAGGCTGGTTATAAAAATATTTATTTAAATTTCCCAAGTTATAACTAATCGACAATTACCAAAAACAGCTTAAGGTATTCACTTTGCCGGGGTTTCCCCTATTTCTTGACCCAAAAATGTCTAACTGTTATACCATTAGGAAACTATGCCTTTATTCTGCTCACCTCATTGGAGGTTTGCATACATAATAAGCATTTGTTGCTCTCTCTCTCTCTCTCTCTCTCTCGTTTTTAAATAGACACAGGTAGAATTTGGTTGGCCTCATGCTTCTACCTTTGGGGATCTACCTGACCATACTTAAGGCGGTTCCAAGGGCAATTTATATCATGCCTATAACCCTTATAATTAAAACGAAACAAGATTAGAGAAGCTCCAAAGTTTTTCAACAAACACCAAGACAAACACCCATTACAAGTAAAAATAATCGTAACCGAAAATAAGTTGAATGGTTTATCACAGAATTAGTCGCGTTCAGACACGGTCGCTTATATAAATGATAAAAAACGGGTTAGTTCAGTTATAGTGTTATACAATCGTTATTCTTTATAAACGGTTGAAGAAAAATGTGATATCCGACAAATTACTCATACTATTACGTCAGATTAATGATATTATCTTGAAATGGTTACATTATGTATACAAAACAATAACAGCATCATTTTCATCTGAACAGGCAAACACCATCAAGAGTACAATGAATGATATGGAATCCAATCTAAGGCCAGCCATACACCCTGGAATTGACGAGTTTGACTATACGGTCACAATGTCAGGTAAGCTGGAATTCAAATTCTCTAGTTTCTGGGCCCCCAGTAAGAACAGACTGACGACAGACATTACAGTGACTGTGACCTAAAGGCTGAGGTCCTCCCCGGACTGTCTTGAGAAGCAACGATAAGTAGTATAGCAGCTGGAATTGACTGCTGAATGGAGGACAAGCACGTAACAGTAAGCCAACCGCCTTATTACGTAACTGTAAAATGTCATGCGCGGGTATTACGTATCTTGAAAAGTGACATTATGTCGATTTTTTTTTGACACTGTATTGATTTTTTGTGACATTATGTAGGTTTTTCTTAACTTAGCACTAGCAGCTGATGGACACTTGAGCCCTAGCTTTGTGGTTGTCTAAACGTCACCTTTTCTTATCTATTCTGGAAATTACATATGCCAATTTGCTGAATTTCAAAAATGAGAGAGATAAGAAACTGTACACTGTCGAATTACAAGTCATTCACATGCTAACAGTAATTACACGCAATGCAAGCGCGGTGGTGATTTCCCGTAATTCTCCTCAAACAAAAAACGTAAATAATCGTAATTTATAACTTTGAACAAAACCTGTCTTCAGAAAGGATGACATATAAATAACCTGTCGGGTACAGCTAATAGATATACATCATTGGCAGCATATTCAGTAATGATTTTCTCACACAGCAAATATCACTGATTACACACATGTAGACCAATACACATAATCATCCAGATGCGACCTTTTTTTCAGAGATGAAAACTACGGACTAATCGGCTTCACAAAACATATGAAACCAACAATGTATGTAGTTCCATAGATAGATGTTCACAACGATACTAGTGTGCAAACCTAGAATGACTGCACTCTAAAAACTACCTAGTCTGCAAGATGACATTTCATAGGTTTTTTTTGGACGTTTTATAGGTTTTTTACATAATACCGGTCCGGTTCGGTTTAGGGACCTGATCGCCATAATTGTCACTTCGGAACATTCACTTCATGTTTGGTTGTAGCAGCTGGATGTCGTCAAGACCTCAAGATACCTGAGCTATGTATGTGCTATGGCTTCAGATGTGATGTAACATTAGCTTCTGAGATGTCACTAGCTGAGGCTATTCATAGCTTCTGTGCACACAAAAACCGTTGCTATTGATTCAAGAGCATAAGTTGCTATGAAACTATGATATTGATTCGTGATCACAGATATTTCAAATAAGGGAATTCAGTTGTTTTAAAGGAACGTAGCACTTACAATTGAGAAACTGACCTTAATTCAAAGATATAATATGTCTTAGAAACATACCGAAGTCACGGTCCTCAATTGAAGATAGTTGTTCTTGAATCAAGATCACTCTTTTTGTGTGTGGACTAAGCTTTAAGTTATAGATGATGAGTGGTATTCAAACCGAGCACACGTGACGTGGACTAGCCGCCAGTTAGTGCACAGGTGACGATCAGATTGCTATCTTAGCGATCATTTTAGATAATCGCCTGCCAGTAAGACCATGGCTATTTTGTACAGTGAAACAGTTACCGGACAACTGGCAGGCGAGATACATACGTTCAGTTCAAGTGCAGTCAGCGAAACCACACCGGTATACAAACAGGTAAAAACAAGGAGGAAATCCACTAATCCTGATCTATAAAGTCACAGACAATCCTAGTAGTGACTAGGCAAATTGTTGAGTCTCAGTCATTTGACTTACTCATTAGTCTGACCAAAACAGATACGATTACAATGGCTATTAAGGGTATTTCGAGCTTCAGGTTATCCCAGTTTAACGAATAGCTCCTGTATCTAACTTTTACTACAACATCTATAGAGTCAGACGTTTACAACAAACTCGTCTGAACAGCAACTTAAAAACAGAATTCAAATACCAGAAAGAACAATGTGTTACCTACCACCATCCAATGTTAGCAAGTGTCTTGTAAAATATTATCATAAGAATCGTATTTATGTTGATAATTTATTCCGCATCCAGTCTCCGGCATAGCTAAGTATCAAATCGAATAAATTACTCCGGACACTTAGTATGCTGAATAACAATACGATAATAATAAATAGCGACATGTGAACAAATGATTTAGAATTCAGCGTTAGACATTGGTATCATGAGCTGTCTACCTTGGAATGGCTATTTAAGAGATTATCGGTGAAAGCATGAAGGTGATAATATGATTTGCTTGCTGGTCACGCGAAATTTGAAATACCTCACACTAAAATGGCATGATCTCTGATCGCCGTCATTTTTGCAATTATTCCAGGGGCATGTAACACGAACATTACAAGTCAACAAGTTACGAATACAAGTAATTTACCGTACCTACAAGTCTCACTTAATTCCGTAACATAATGTAAATAAGTACACTTGTGATTACAAGTGAAAGAAATCAGTGATATATTACAAGTGTAGATAACGGTGTACGCGCTACGTATTATAATTATACTTTGGGTCCAGTCCGAAGACATCACTTTGTTTATTCACTATGTAGTCCGCCCCTGGAGTACGATCCGCGCACCAAGTTGAAAGACGAGAATCCCCACCTCCTCGCCGCGCCCTGGCCACTCGTGTTGAATCATTCGCTTTTTGGTGCGCGATCCGTGCAGTCGCCCGGCCTGCTTCAGTTCAGAAAACGCGTGCGATTTCTCTTTTCGGTACATAGTGCTCAGTGAGTAGGTAGGTAAGTTCACAACAAGGCTATTCTTTTTGATACCACTTAGCAGTCTGTTACATAATTGATTGGCGTATTCAACCAGATTGAATACGTTAGCCAATGGTTATACTTGTTTAACAGAAACCATGGAAAAATCAGGAATTTCGGAGGCCAATTCACCCAGCTCCTTGAGAGACATGATTCGGGCCATTTTACAGGAGGAGCTCGAGGCAAGGTCAGGTGGTTATCGTTCTCGCACTAATTCGAGAAGTTTATCCCGAAAGAGTCGACACAGCAGATCCATGTCTCGTACCAATTCACCTCATCATTTTAGACGCTCCCGCTCTCGCATCAGCCGTAGGCGTTCAAGGTCACGTTCTAGGAGTAGTAACAGTCGCAGTCGATCACCGAGCGTGTCGAGGCGACGTAGAGAGAGACGGGAATATTTGCGTCAAGAGAAAAACTCAGGCAGCCCATCTGATAAGGTACAGCGTCAGGTAGACTCGGCTGGCCGTTCTCCGTGCGAGGCGGAAGCTCAGATTCTGACAGGGCCGGACTTGGGAACGGTACCAACTGAGAAAAATGATATGGAGGATGTTTTGATGCTTAGTGAAGGTGAGTGTCTCCCATTATCGGAA